ACTCTATAAATAATCTGTACTGTCAACCACAGATAATCACAGATTAGATAGAGGTATGCTCCATGAAGCTATAGATAAAAGTGGAGGCCACACTCCGAATACCTACTTGAAGCACAACCTTTGTATCACTATCTCGCTCTCTGTGGGCAGACTCTTTCTAAATAAACAAAAAATATAAAGGACATTGGGAACTTTAATATGAGAAAATGCCCCACGGCGGACAAAGATGAAACGTATTTTATTTCAAAGCTTTATACTTGTAGGTATATTCACTTAAAGCGCTATGTTGTGATATATGGGAATTCTGAGATATGACGAGTCTAAGTTGAAAATATATTTGTCTAAAATGATTTGATATTTTTATATGTTATGTTGTTTGGCATTGCAGAGTAACCAATAAAAGTAAATAAAATAATACAAATAAATAAAGAATATAAATAAAATAATATAAATAAATAAAATATTATAAATACTTAAATTAATATTAGACAACATCTCATATATTACTCCAACCCAAAATAAGTAGCTAAGGCATTAATTGTGTTATGGAAATCGGGAACGACGAACCACAACACACCCAAACCAGAGACAATGTGAAAAGATCGTTTTCTATATTGTCCCGGCCGGGAATCGAACCCGGGGCCTCAGGATTGGCCCGGCACACCTTGAAAACCGGTGTGTGCGCCTCTCCGCCACCGAGGTCGTCAAAAATGTTACCTAAATGTAAAATAAAATAAAATATTAAAACTTCATTTTCTCAATATTCCCATTTATGAGAGAGAAAAAAAATGCACGGAAATTCATTGGATATTAGTATGTATCATCTGTGATAGGTTTCGTTTGTGTCCGCTACTTTTCGAAAAGTGGGGCAAAAAGTTCCCAATGTCATTTGCTCAGTCAATGAAACTCAATTTAAAATCTTTATTTCTTGACATAGGTATAATTAAATGTTAAGTGTAAATACTGGTAAAACGTTTTAGGAAGAAATTACTGTGAAAAATGTTTACAAATGATCCAATGTCGGAAATCACGAAATAAACACTTACGCGTGGAATCTTAAGTCATTTCCAGGACACCACGTACTACCGCAACCACGCACTACAAAATTTTGCACCATTTCTTGTGATAAAACAATGATTTTGTCCTGTAAAAAATCTCAAACGAAATTAACTGCCTAATAAACAAAATAGTAAACAACCGCCATGATAGGCCGGATTGGGCCGATGTTGCCACATGGTACCGATTTCCCAGGAATTGGGATTGTAATTCCCTGATTCGCCAACACATTAAGCCTAAACGGCCGACAATTTTGTGATTTTTAATTTATCTAGGTAATCGTAGTTCAAATATTTAATTATTTATTTGTTTAACTTCTGATTTAGTTAGTGAATTGGCTATTTCGAAGAATTTACTAGGAGATTTCAATAAGGAGATAGCAATACTACAGTTCACACCAAAAAGAGAGGTAGGGCCACAGAGAGCGAGATAGATATAAGTAGGTATTTGACTCAAGTTTTTGTTCCAAGTTTGCCCTCCATTTTTATCTTTAGCTTCATGGGTATGCTCCTATGCTCTATGCTGGCTGTCAACCATAGAGTATAGGTGTACCAGAAACTCATGGCAAATAGGGAAAATAAACTTTGTTGAGAGCAATACTGGGGAAATTGGATTAAACGATCTTGATACTGTTAATTTTTTTACTTTTATGACTTTAATATTAATGAACATGAAGTACGAATATACATTTTAAGTATGTGTATGAAGAATATTATACATCGGGTTTTTAACATAAGAAAAGGTGTTGAAAAATAAGTATTTCGTATATTACTTTATGAGTCTTTATGTAACTATTTTTATTATGTATCATACTTATCACTTCATTAAGAACTAGAAAACGATTCTAAAAACTCCATTTGCATTTCTTGTTCTTCAATAGATGATCAAGATATATAAAGGTATTATAAATAAATTGCTCTTCCAGCATTTCAATGGAGAAGTTTCCTGATGTTGAAAATATTATATTTCTCTCAATAGGAATAAAATATAGACCAAAACTAAAAAGACGGTGAAGTTTTTTTTAAAATCTATCAAGAAAAGGCTGAGAAATTAATTATTTGAATTACTTACATATTTTCGTGTGGAACTCAAACATAGGCTGTGTCATTCTTTTTGTATATGGCCTGGCCAGGTCTGGGACATTTTAAAAAGAGGTTACAAAATTTTACTAAGAAAGAATCTTGAGTGACCCTAGCTGAAAAATTAAGAACTACTAGATTAAAAAAAAACATGGATCTGCCAACAGAGGGAACGGACCAGAGCCCCGATTACGGTAACTTTTAACGTTTCCAATCCAGACGCACTTCTGATTCTGCGATACGATTGGTCAAAACAGCTGACGTACGCTGTTGAACGACCAATCGTATCGCAGAATCGAGAAGCGTGTCTGGATTGGAAACGTTAAAAGTTACCGTAATCGGGGCTCAGGGGTGATTTACGGTTTGTACTCCGAATGACTGTCGTGACTACACCGATCAAAATGGCGCGAATATTTGTTATGCGCAACTGTAGGGCCCTGTAACTTCTTTATTTGTAGAGATATTTTCACAATTATTATTAGTTTTACTTAAATTTTCAAGTTTTATTAAAATAATAAAATTTGAATTTTCTCCATTATTCAATCTTGCTTGATGAAATCTTTTTCAATTTTCTTTACATGGTCATAACTCTTAACATTTTCACCATTCCTCTGCACCAATTTGTGAGATACACCTGAAAATCCCGATAAAGCAGCTATTAAGTAAGAATAATATAATAAAACACAACCCTCCTTCTGACGCAGTTGGGTAGTAAACTAAATGTATCAAAACATTTCAGTCCAACTTACTGTCAACTCGATGACGTGCTTTAAAATCAACGATTGACTTTGAATTATGCCTTATTTTCCAATTCACATTGAAAACAATGTGACTTGCTTGAGTTTTTTCGAATTTTTCACAAAAATAACAAATAGTCAAGAAGAGATNCAGTGTATTGGATCTATGTATAATGGTGGGGTACCATGATTAAGTCAGAAGAAAATCTTTTGTCACGAGAGGTGAGATTTATTTGACGCGGAGTGTAGATTAGTGGAGTGGGTTATTTTGTTTACATCATTCATTAATGTGCAGTTTTACGATTAATACCACCTTCATGAGACTATCTGTATAATAATGAACGCCTTTACTACAATAACCTGTGACAATAACCGAAATATTTTTTGGGTCTGTTGATTGACCAATAGGAATGCTAGTAACTGGAACAGACTGTAAAGATTAACCAATAGAAATCGATTCGGTGACATTTTGCATGTTAGTTCTTAAAAATATCCGGCTGTCACAGGCTGTCAATACCTACTTGAAGCACAAACTATGTATCACTATCTCGCTCTCTGTGGGCAGACTCTCTCTTTCTAAATAAACAAAAAATATAAATTTGCTCAAATTCAATGAAACTCAATGTAAAATCTTTATTTCTTGACATAGGTATCATTAAATGATAAGTGTAAATACTGGTAAAACGTTTTAGGAAGAAATTACTGTAAAAAATGAGAAAAATGTTTACAATGATCCAATGTCGGAAATCACGAAATAAACACTTACGCGTGGAATCTTATGTCACTTCTAGGACACCACGTACTACCGCAACCACGCACTACAAAATTTTGCACCATTTCTTGTGATAAAACAATGATTATTTCCTGTAAACAATCTCAAACGAAATTAACTGCATAATAAACAAAAAGGAAACAACCGCCGGATTGGGCCGATGTTGCCACGTTTATGGGCATGAAGCTAAAGATAAAAATGGAGGCCAAACTTGGAACAACAACTTGAGTCAAATACCTACTTATCTCTATCTTGCTCTCTGTGGGCCGACCTCTCTTTTTAGTGTGGACTGTAGTATTGCTATCTCCTTATTGAAATCTCCTAGTAAATTCTTCGAAATAGCCAATTCACTAACCAAATCAGAAGTTAAACAAATAAATAATTAAATATTTGAACTACGATTACCTAGTTAAATTAAAAATCACAAAATTGTCGACCGTTTAGGCTTAATGTGTTGGCGAATCAGGGAATTACAATCCCAATTCCGGGGGAATCGGTACCATGTGGCAACATCGGCCCAATCCGTGCCATCATGGCGGTTGTTTGCTATTTTGTTTATTAGGCAGTTAATTTCGTTTGAGATTTTTTACAGGACAAAATCATTGTTTTATCACAAGAAAGGTTGTTTCCTTAAACGTTTTACCAGTATTTATGTTACGGTTAATGTGATAAATTGAAAATTATTAATAATAACCGGTTATTATGAATAATTACCGACAGTCGCGGTAAAAGTGATAAATTAATCACATTTAACAGTGATTATATTTAGTAATTCAACCTTAGTACTAACAAATTTCATAAAAAAGAACAATATCTTGTGTACGTGCTCGTGTACAGCCAAACTTTTGAACGTTTTGATATCATATATTAATATAATTTGGCATAATGAGTTTGGAATGTTTCTTGCATAATATAACTTTTCCATGATGCCTATAACATAATGTTTTGATTTAAAGTGAAAAATAGGTTAAGGTGCGGCGGGGGTGGCCCTTGGGCCACCCCTAAGCCGCCTATTTAGTTTTATACACACATAATTGACCTTATATTAATCACATTTACCAAATCATGCGGTAATTATTCATAATAACCGGCGATTATTCATAATTTTCACATTTATCACTTTGACCGTAACATTTACACTTAACATTTAATGATACCTATGTCAAGAAATAAAGATTTTACATTGAGTTTCATTGACTTTGAGCAAATTTATATTTTTTGTTTATTTAGAAAGAGAGAGTCTGCCCACAGAGAGCGAGATAGTGATACCAAGGTTGTGCTTCAAGTAGGTATTCGGAGTGTGACCTCCATTTTTATCTATAGCTTCATGGATAGAGGTATGCTCTATCTATGCTGTCAACTAAGGCTGTCAAAAAAAACTCGTCACGAATTTGGCAATATCGCGTTTTGGGTTAGACTTTACCACAAAAACATAAATAGGTAATAAATCTATTACTGTTAACTGTGCTACCAAACTCTATTTTCTGTTGATTGAAATTTGTGTTCATAATTTTATGCTGCTACTGAACATAACCTCTAAACGTTTCAGATTTTAGTACGAGATGGTGTTTTTAACTGTTGCAAATTGGGTGAGAGCTCGTGGACCTGATGAGTATTGGAGAAAACGGAGGATATTCAAATTGGCAGCTCATTATATCGGCAGGCGAAGAAACTGTTACTCAATTGCTGTTCGTAATGTTCATCGTGCCTTAGCTTATGCTACCAAGGCTAGACAATTGAAGAAACAAGATATGATAGACCTGTGGAATACCAGAATCACCGCAGCATGCGAGCAACACAATATCACATATTATACTTTGAAAGAAGGATTAGACCGGGCCAATATAATGCTGGACAGAAAATCATTATCAGACTTGGCTTCTTGGGAACCGCGTACATTTGAATCTTTAGCAGCAGTCGCAAAACAAAAAATTGAATATGATGGCTTTATAGACGGAACAGACAAGAAACATCCTACAGGAGTTAATTTGAACCTGAAAGACGTAATGTTAGAAGTGTGGCTAAAAGAAAAGAAGTAGTTATTTATCTAATTTTGTAATTGTTCACTATAGTACCTAAAATAATAAATAATGTAGTTACAAAAGAGTCAATTTATTTACATTTATTGGTTTTCTATTTCTTTTTTTAATTTGTTTGTTAATTCTTTTTGTTTTTCTAATATGTAAAGATTTTCTATTTTTCTTCTTTGCTGACGTTCTATATCTCTGACAACACCTTCATGCATTTTTTCTCTGAAAAATAAATGGGTCTCTATTATAATATAGTCAATAAACATAAATCTGTATGCGCTACAATATCTGCCGTTTTCAGTTATCAGAATGGAAGTGGGAAGAACAATCATACCAATATGATTCAACTCTGTTGTTGTATTTTACCTACATAATCTATACAGCTCTTCCTCCATAATATAGTATTAATGAGAAAGAGAGATGGAGGATTCACTGAATTTCATTGACCTACCTGTCTGCTTGTTGCTTTATGTGTACGTAGGACACTATTCCAACAGTCACAGCACATGATAATCCTAAGACCAGTTTAGATGTTTGGGATGACATCTTCTTCTTAAGAAATCGGTTCTAATGTCTGTAATAATAAATGAATATTTAGAAAGTAAGATAATACGAGGGTGCCAACTTTATAGGTTAAAGTTAGTGGTTAGGTAATCTCATTCCCAAAGACGACGTATAAGATAAATGTAGATGAATTACATCAGCATTTAGGATGGCACATTATTTAAAGTTCTTTAATAGCATTAAAATAACTGTTTTTTTTTATTGCGAATCGCGACCGCACATTTGTTTTCCTATTTTGACAAGCCTCTGTCAAAAACATATGTAAGACTGTCAAAATGACATTAACTTTTTGAATTATTTAGTTACAGCGCTGGCCTTAATATTCATGGCCATATTTTTAATAAGAAATCCATGCATGTAATTAAAGGATGATGGGCATATTGGGCGTTAAACCAACAGAAACAAAAAGTATACTAAATTAAAGCTTAATACTAGTACTTCATTTCATAGTACAACAATCCTGAAATACGCGGGGATACGGAGATAGAGGTCGTTGAATATGCAAAGTTTCCATAGTATTTCACATCACATTAGGGTAATAAAAATAGTATTAGGTCAATTAGATTGCTTTTATCGATCATATTGAGAGTATTGTATCATAATATCGATTCTATCGATTTAGTAATTATGTATACCGAATAAATCATAATCGATTATTCGATTGCAATAATCGATTTTATTACTGAAAATAAGGAATTGAATTAACAATCAAATGATAGTAATGATGGTAATCAATAAAATCGATTAATCGAAATGTTAATTGATAAATCGTTATTTGGCAATATCGATTAATAATCGATCCGTGATCGATTATGCGACAACACTACAACTTAACTGGTAGAAATCCCATTGAAACATGACTGTGTTTATGTCATTTCTCTAAATGGTATCTAGTAGAGATGAGACGTATTTACTAGAACAGATCCACACACTAGGTATTTTACAGTACTAGGCGGCACCTATTCCATTTTATAAAATACTTGATCCACCTAGTATTTTATAAATTACACGATTTCCGACCCTACCCTGAAAGTAATAGAGGTTATTATTGCGTAATCCGTAGTCGTGTATTACGCGCACCTAGTATTTCTCGCTAAGCTTATGTGCGAACGTAGATATTCACTCCGTCTCTGTCTGACCAAACAAATTTGAGCGCGACGAAGCAAACGCACACAAACGTAGTCAAACCATATTCGGGTATTTCGCCAAAACAGTAAATTTTCTGTGTCCAGGCAGGCGAACACATGTTTTTTTATATCTATATGTATAAAACTATTTTTATGGGAAAGTTCATCCAAAGTTTTATTTGTTTTTGCTATTACAATAGCAGAAACTACAAATAATACCGTAGAAAAACTTAATCAAAAGTCGTTTTTCTAATTTCCTTGTTATGTCCATTACTGTTGTTTGCCAAAATGAAGGCACATTATAACAAATTGAAGCGTAATTTCATTCTAATAGCACTCTCTTTACATTTGAGAAATGTTTGGCTATCGGAAAATAAAAACTTCAAATGTCAAATACTTAAAGGATGGAAGTAAAGTGAAGTTAAGTTCTTGTCCGAGTCAAAAGTATAATTTCCCTGGGTCTTCTTTTCGACCATTTTAGTAACGAAACGAAAGAACTTAGAATGTAATGCACTGCACCGTTACACTCGGCCATTTCGTCCCAAGAGGCCATCGAGGCAGGANGTACGTTCGGGCTTCCAGAACTGCCAGAACCCAAAACAACAGTTTTTGTAACCAGATCACTAACGAAACGATATAAAAAATGCTATTTTTTATTTATTTATTTACAAGCTTTATAATGACTTCACTTGTGTGTGGGACAAATCTTGCAACTGAATTTATGACCAGTTTTCCTCAACCGATTGAGCTGGGTAGGTATACGTAAGTACGATGACAATGCAATGTTATGGTACCATTGAGCTGGTCTGATGGTGGAGTCAGGAGGTGGCCATAGGAACTCCTAAATGAAACGACGGAATCGCATCGAATTTGGGTTCGTTGGATTTGTCTTTTCGAGCACTTTAGTACTAGATGATGTCCAGGGTCCTGATGATGGAGTCAGGAGGTGGCCATACGAATACCTAAACGAAACTTATCGAGTTTGGGTTTGTTGGATTTGTCTTTTCGAGCACTTTGGTGCTAAATTGTAATTGAACCAAGGCTCTGAGATTGCGATACCTACTAATAATAAAAAGAGTAAAATAAAATTATAACATTAAAAACCTTTTTTAAAAACAAGCTTTTTTATTCTGAAATGCAGTTGTACTAAAACAGTGGTTCTTAACCGGTGGTCCGCGGACCACTGGTGGTCCCTGGAGGCATTCCAAGTGGTCCACGAAGACATCGTAATAAAGTGACGTGACGTGATGAGTTGAGTCAACATATCGCAAACGGCGCACAGTGTGGGCGAGAAATCGAACTCCCCTTCATAGGATTTTGAAAAAAAAAGTGGTCCCTGACAAGACAGAAAGGTAAAATGGTCCCTTATGACTTAAACGTTAAGAACCACTGTACTAAAACGAAAAAAATAATTGTACTTATGTAAGGTTCAAATAATTTCGAAAGCTTGTAGCGCAAACTTATAAGAGGAATAAATTCCATGCGCGATACAAGCTTTCGAAACTATTTGAACCATGTATGCATACAATTATTTTTTTCGTTTTATTATCATGTGTTAACGGATTAACGATTAACGTTAACTTGCGTTAAATCTTGCGAAATATAACGTTTTAACGTTTAACGAAGTTAATTTTTTTATTAACGGTTTAACGATTAACGAAGTTAACTATTTGATTAACGGTGCCCAGCTATGATTATCACCATTTTTTTTAAACCGAATTCTAAGGTGAATTTTTTAATCGTAGTTTGTATTTTGTTCAAGTTTGGCGGCTCGTAAGTCTCGTAACTAGCTATCCAAACATTATCTGGATTTGAAATTTATTTTATTTAACTAAAGATATATTAGATATTATAACAAATAAAAAAATCGGTTGAAAACGCGTGAGAAAAAAAATGAAGCAGTTTTTAGGTTAAATTTCGGAAAAAAATTAATAAAAACATAAATATAAAAAATTAAAAAAAACCGCGGCTAAAAGTAATATTGAGCCCTTACAGATAGCGCAAAATAAACTAGTGAAAGCTTTGTTCCATTACGATTTTCTGACACCCACAGAGAAAATATACAAAGAAACCAAAATTATGACCGTTAAACAGACATATACATCATACTTTACCTGTGTATTGGTTCGGAAAATATTTACTAAAGAAATCCATAGTCAATTAACATTTCTACTAAAGAAAAATATGCACACTAAAAGTCTGCGACGCATGAATGACTTGTGCTTACGACCTCCAAGAACAAATTATGGAAAGAAAAACATTATGTATTATGAGGGTGCAAAATTGTATAATAAACTACCTAAAAATATTAAAGAAGCCAAATCAATGTCTTTATTTAAAAAATCCCTTAAAATTTATATTAAAAATAATTTTGAAAGATAATTTGTAATAAAATATTTATATTAAATTATTTAAAAAANTGATACACAAGAACCAGTCTCTCGACAATGTTCAGCGTTTACAGTATTTGAAGGGATATTTGACGGGAGAGGCAGAACAACTTATTCGATACATACCTGTAGCTGAGGTTAATTATGATCAATGTTGGATACTTCTAGAGCAAAGATACAGTAATAAAAAATATTTGGCACACAACATTTTGAATCGGTTTTTAAGTCAACGTAATGCCAATATTGTATCTGCAAGCATTCTAAAGGATTTTATTGACACAACCTCAGATTGTTTAAATGCTTTGATCAATTTAGGGATAGATGTCTCTACGTGGGACATAATCATAATACATCTGTTGAGTTCAAAACTAGATCCCGAGACACGCAAGGAATGGGAACTGCACATTGCTAGAACTGTAGCGTCTGATTGTTTACCAACTTATAGTCAAATGAAAGATTTCTTGTACGATAGGTTTCGGGCTTTGGAATGTATCGAACCTAAACATTTTACTAGACAGTCAGCTGCCAATGTGCATACCGGGCAGAATGTTAGTCATACTAGGGCTTTACATGCGACTAATGTTCAAAAATTATCTTGCGAGTTTTGTGGTGAGGAACATAAGTTATGTTTTTGTAAAGGGTTTTCAAATTTGGGTTATGAGAACAAACGTGACTTTGTTATTAAAAATAAAATGTGTTATAACTGTCTAGGAAGCAACCATGGTGTAAAGTTTTGCCGATCACCCACCAATTGTAGAGTTTGTAAAAAACGGCATCATTCTTTGCTTCACTCAGGGAAAACCCCCACTTCGACTGCTGGTTCAGGGTTTTTAGGTCAAGTAGTTGAAGAAGGTGCGGGGAAGGACAAGTTTTGTGTAATTGAATTTCGACCAAACTTCGCGTCGTAGTNTTTTTTTGTAATTTTCCGGTTTGTTAATAAAATCAGGTGAAATCGTTGTTTTCTCTTTTTAAAAAAAATAACCTCGCTTCAAATCTCCAAAAATACTTATATTTTTATAACTTTCATAATCTACATCATCATATCTCTTGCCACCACAAATGTTTTTATGTCTGTGCAGAAAGCAGGACTTTATTGATTTCCATCGAAACGTAGGTAATTATGTAAACCACGAGTAAATCAAATTAGTAGTCTAGACAACTGTTTGCTTTGAGTCCCACCTAATTATTATTCGATGGGCTGTTGGTCAATAAAATTATCGATAATTATTTCATTTGCTTTTTGTTTCTATGTGAGGAATTTTTAAACTGTCTCCACGTTCCATCTTTGTTAACGTTTGTTCGCGATCGCGAGTGATATAAAACCTATTTGGATATTGTGACAGTGAAAAATCATACGGCATTCTTTTGTTTTACTCTCTGTCTGTTGGATTCGATCAGTACACAAGTCTGTTGAAATTATTTCGCATTTTTACTTTAAAATATACCTGATTCCCTTCATGGTCCTGGATCGAGCCGGATAACTATTGCAATCGAGGAAGTTACGGAAAGCGCAGTTATTGGCACTGGGGATTGCGCGTCGTCAAAGAGTGGTCGAGGTTCAAAGTTCAAGTTCAACGGTTTGAACGTGTGAGCGAAATGGTATAAAAAGTGATTAATTTTAGGACCCAGCACTCTACTAAGGTATATTTTATGTGTAATTGTAAGGATATATAAGGTTAGTAAGCATTAATGTTTATTTTATGCAAAATTTGTGAAATAATGACTG